GAGAATCAACGTTGTGTTAGGCTGCGGAGGGAAGTTGCCTGCCAGTCTCAGTCATAATCCCATTCGCGCGTCAGTCACCTCCAGGGAAGCAGTGGTAGTACAGCGGACCCTGGGGGACGAGCAACCCCATCTAATAACATTTCGGGTAATGAGCGAGCCACTCTTAGAAAATGTGTTTCGATTGGCGAGCTTCCGCTCAGTTAACAAGATGTCACTGTGTGTGCATGTGTGTGCTTGTGTCCGCCGTCGAGTCCTGCTTCCAGGGCTTCACATGACGAGCTCGGTGCCAGAACGAACGAAACCTGTTAAACGAGGTTTAACTGTAGTCCCTATTGACGCAATAGCTACCGGCAGCATCTGGCATGCAGAGTAAACTGACCTTGCGCAATTCCCGTCGAAGGAACCTGGCTTGAAACTGTAGCACAGGATCGGAGAAGCAGACAGCGTCAATCACGGTTACCACCTTTTCCCACCTGCCCTGCTTGTCCCTGAAAGTAGGAAAACCAAGCGATTTCAGAAGGGAAAAAAACCCGGCTCTACACAGTTGCCGGTTTAATTGAAAAAAAAAAAAACCCTAAAGGCCGACAGCAACAACAACAACAACAACACGGTGAAAGATGGTTTTGCTGGGATAAGCATTCCGTTTATATTAAAACCTGGTCATTATCACAGAAGCCTGATACAAAAGGTGGGACCAGTTCGAGTGGGTGGCAAGCGCAGACGGGCCAATAAGCTTCGTCAGCCACTGCACTCACGCCTAGTTTGCCTCAGCATCAACCAATTCACGAGCAAGTCACCGGTGCTGCACTCATTACGTTGACTCCGTCAATTATTACATATACAAATTATACTACTCGTGCTAAGCGAGTAGCCATATTTTATTACTATTTAAACTATACCAGCTTTTCGCATGCAAGCATGTAATCGAAGTATTTTTCCGCATTTTTTTATATTACCCATACATTCTTAGCCACCTTGTTACCAATAGGGAGCTAAAATGCATTCGCTTATCTTTTCCTCAATAAGCTGATACTGATATATCGTCACTG